CATAGCGACCCCTCCTTGGGTTTCCGAGGCAGTATCACTACGGAAGTAGGATTGCCCAACCTTCCTTCCGAGGAGTGGCTGGTGGGTACCATGTCAATAACTACAGCAAATATACTAAAATTATTAGTCTAAAGATTTAAGCATGTGAGAAACACCTCTGATCATTTAAATTTATTTATCATATTAACTTTATTAGAAAAAGTGCTAATTTTAATGGGTCTCAAGATTTATTACCCTAGGTCTTCATTAACAAAATTTCTTTTATAAATATCTCAAATAATTATGTTCATTTTCTTACAGGTGATTTTCAATAATTCCATAGTCTTTGTCACTAATTTTGCAAATGCCGTATATTTCTTTTAACATTTATTTTCTTTTTGAGTAAAATTGTTTTCCTATAATATACTCATCATATTTTAAAAATAATCCCTTAAATAGTTATTTTTGCAAATATAAATAAATTTTTCATCATGTATATAACACGTTTTAATTAGAGTATCTGTAAAGGAACCATGTGTTAATATTTTTACATCTTTAAAATTATCTTTATTATTGCACAAGACATACATGATTTTAATTTTAAAGTTTATTGTAAATAAAATACCATCTCTTTTTATATTATCTTGGATGAAAAGGGTTGAACTATACTTTTTTCTTCCAATTTAAAGAATCCTTGAGGAATTGGCATCTTGAGAATCTTATGATGTCAAGTCAAGAAATGCGTGAATTCACGATAATTTAAATTCTTGCTGAGTTTCATGAGGAATGATTGAAGATTCAAAATGTCCCTAAGTATGTTGGACTATTTGTCAAGACCATTTATTGCAGAGCTTGTATTTTGTGGAATGCATCTCTTCTAAAAAAGGGAAGTGAGGCAAACCTCCCAGGTTGTAGATAACATCAAGGTACTTACACTTAGCAAACCTAAACCATATACCTTTCTTGTGCTGAGGTTATCTGCACTTAAATCAGTTTGCATTTTGTGATTGACAATATGAAAGCTGTATCTGGGTATCCAAAACCTCTAAAATACCTTGATATTCTTTCTTAAAGTAAGTAAACTTGGCTCTGGGTAAATATTTTGTGCCACATGAGTTTGAATGACATTGTACACTTGAAACCTCCCACTGTTGGCTTATGATTAATTGACCCTCATGTGACTGCCTTTCAAATCCTTCAACAGTATGCAAAGATACTTTATGGTGCAAAGAAGGATGGATAGGAAGGATCTTTTGATACACTGGTGCTGGAATAGTTGCTAACTCCTTTGTTTGAGATAACAGAAGTTTTTGAGGCAAGTTACTGGTGACAATTTTGATGGTATATCTTTAAAACTTTGGAATTTAGCAAGATGGACTAATAAAGGTGAACAGCAAAAATGGCCAGAAACATTCCTTGATTGTTAATAATGGCATTAGCAAAACCGAAACCCTATGAGAAGAGCATACTACACACACATACACACACACATACACACACCCCAAACCCATTGCCATGAAGTTGATTCCTACTCCTGTCAATCTTATAGGACAGAGTAGAACCACCTTCCAGGGTTACCAAGTCTGTAATCTTTATAGAAACAAGTTTCCACATCTTTCTCCTGCAGAGTGACTAGTGGGTTCAAACCACTGACAGCCAAGTTCTTGTCTACTGCACCATCAGGGCATAAAAAAGTAAATACATTGATCAGGAGATACGAGAAAATAAGTAAAACAGATGATGAGTCAAAAGATATTTAGCTGGAAACCTGTCCAGATATTTACCCAGAAACCAGAAGTCAACATACTTGATGTCCAAGAGGTTGGAGGATAAAGCTAGGTGTCCACAGAAACAATAGGTTACTGATTAATTATTGAGTACCTTGCTAACAAATAATAACAGAAACCCGATCAGTTCTAAGGAGCTCTGATGGCTCAGTGATTAACATATTAGGCTTCTAAAAAGGTCAACTCATCAGCGGCTCCGCAGAAGGAAGGTGAGGCAGTCTTCTGCTGTAAAGTTTTGCAGCCTTGAAAACACTATCGAGAAGTTATACTCTGTCTTGTAGTGTTGCTATCACATGGAATCAACTCGATGA